TAGAGGCAATAGCAGAGAATAAAACAAAGTGGAGATATACTGTTGAAGCCCAATTTTCCCCTCGGAATCTAGGGGAACAATAAAAATAACAAATAATGTAGAAGTAAGTGAATTATTCATCAATTATCTTTTCATGACCTTGACCTTAGGGGGCCTGTTCGAATTTTTGGGCCTGCTACTATAATATACTACATTTTGCATCCAGTCTACTGTTTACCAACATACATTTATCACCTAAATATGAATTCTAACAGAATCATTTACTCTCGTAACTTTATCAATCATCTACGACCAAATGACTTTCATATTCCAAAGAAACCAAGGAGGAAACATCGTAGTGGTTGGCAGAGAGCTCTCAAACGTACACCAATACACTTAACTACGGTCCCCGTCATAATGAACACAAACTGCCGCTCTCTGCCAAACAAGATAATGTACCTACAATCCTTGATGTCCACTGACACTTATCATAATACTGCCATAATCACATTACAAGAAACGTGGTTGCATGAACTGTATGATGACAACCTTATCTCACTAAAGGACTTTATTTTATTTCGTCAAGACCGTCAATGTTGTAATAAGAAAAATGGTGGTGGCGTTGCAACTTTTATTCACTCCAAATGGTCTGTCTCAAATAACGTCTGCTTCACCTTCTCAAATGACTTCATTGACTGTATTACTGTCAAATGTCGCCCCAAACATCTCCCCAAATATAAACAAATCTATATTACAAACATGTACATTTCTCCTAGTTGCTCTCCATCTGATCTATCTAATTTTGCTGATGAATTCACCATGTTTGCTGCTGCCAACTTCGACAACTCTCTATCCGTTATTACTGGAGACTTCAACACCTCAGATTGCTCCTTTCTTGAAGCTCTTGGTCACACAAACATAGTCAAATTTCCCACTCGACTTGACAAAACACTCGATCTAGTTTTTACTAATGACGAAGGAGTATATGAAACACGTAGACGTTCACCGATACTAAACTCAGATCACTGCATTGTCCGCGTTTTGCCAAAAATATACAGCAAAACACATATTAAAATCTTCTCACACCTGTCTACGAAAGCACAACAAAGATGCTACACATCTGACAACCTACTCAATCTAAGATGCATGTTAAAAAATACCAACTGGGATCTATTCTATGAAAGTACATTAGATGACTCAATCACCAATATAATGGATTATCTTAAGTTCTGCCTCGACATATGCTGTCCCAAACAAACACTGTTCAAACGCCTCGACCGCTTCTCGTCTCCTCATCTCAAACAACTTCGCAGGCAAAAAGAAATGTTATATAAATGCAAAGACAAGTTAGGACTTAAAAAGATTAATGCTCAAATCAAATCTGAAATCAAAAATCTTAATGCTATCTATAACCAAACACTTTTATCATGCAAATCTCCTATCAGCATGTGGAAATTTTTCAATGAAATTACTGGCAATAGTAAGCGATGTAATGTTTTTCCCTCTTGTGATGTTAATGCTCTTAATCTGTCTTTTATACGCTCTCCTTCTACTATAACCACTTCTAACGTTACTAATCTTGTAGCTGATAACTTCCAGGACTTTAACACTCTCGATGTTTTGAAATGTCTTAAAACTCTTAAGCCCTCACATAGTCTTGGCCCTGATGGCATACCTGCATATGTTCTAAAACAATGTGCAGATGCTTTATGTTCTCCTCTAACTAATATCCTAAATGCTTCTTTCTCCGAAAACGTTGTACCTGTTCCATGGAAAGACATTAAAATAGTCCCTGTCCCTAAACCTGGCAATAGCAAGAACGTAAAGTTCAGACCCATTGCCATCACTTCCCCGTTTCTAAAGCTCATGGAAAAACTAGTACTTCTTAAACTCGAACCCTCCCTTAAAAGCTTCGAAGACCCCAAACAATTTGCCTACAGACAGGGTAGGAGTACTTTAGACGCTGCAGCCGTCTTACACAACAGTATTGTCTCATCATTAGACAAAGGTGCCAAATATGTCCGCTGCACGTTTCTTGACTTTACTTCTGCTTTCGACTCTGTACCTAGATGTCTCTTGCTAAATAAGCTCTCCATGACACAAACCGAGTCCTGGGTCACTAACTGGTTGCATTCCTACTTTTCAAACAGAATGCAGTACACCGTATACAAAGGCTAATCCTCCTCTGCTGTGCTCACTGAAGCTGGTGTCCCCCAAGGTGCTGTACTCTCCCCACTTCTCTTTTCTTTCTTTCTACATGACCTACCATCTTCAAATGACATTAACTTTGTCAAATATGCTGATGACCTAACTGTATCTTTACCTGTCAAATGTCAAAGTGACTGCTCTAAACTAAATGGCTTCTTATCAGAAATCAGCCAATGGTCCAAGGAAAACGGTCTAACCTTAAACCCCTCCAAATGCCAAACAGTTAATTTCACCTTTAGGCATAAATCTGACCTAAACAAACTGGTTAGCACTCACGAGGTGTGCAACATAGATGGCAGTGAAATAGAAACCAAGTCGGAAATTAAATACCTAGGCGTCACTCTATCTTCTGATCTTTCCTGGTCGTCTCATATCTTGACGATTTCTAAGAAAATATTCCGTCTTACCTTCTACATCAAGAAGTTAAGACATTCTGGTGTAACCCAACCCTTACTCCTACAATTTGTTAACTCCCGTATTCTGCCTATTATTCTCTATTGTTCCCCCTTAGTTTTTCCTGGGCTATTGAAGAAAGACTATACCTTATTACGCAGGATGTTAAAGGTTGTCAGCAGGGTAAGCAACCTGCCACTTAACCAGCTTGTTAATATTCTGGTCGACAGGCACTTGGACTCATGTGAAAAATGGGCTAAATCCATTTTATCTAACTCACACCACCCTCTTCATTCACAACTCTACCCTTGTATCTCATCAGGCGAAACCAGAAGCCTATATAGAAAACTATATGCTCGCACTAGCAAGTACAAAAACTCAACCATACCCTACTTAGCTCGTGTTCTGTGCGATAAAGAAAGCATTAGGCGTGATACCTACAACTTATTCAATAGTCAGTAGAACAACTGGATCTCGTCTTTCCAACTCATATAATTTATAGGTACAACGTTTTTTCTTTCTTTCTTTTCCTTTTCTCCCTCCTTTTTTCTGTTATGTGCAGCTTTGTTTCTTTCTTCTGTTTACGCCAGTAAATATGCTAGCACCTACTTTTCCAACACCTTCTAACACTCTGTTTAATTTTGGCTTTGCTACCGACATATCAATCATGTTGTTGTCAAAACTACCTAAGATTACCTTAATCTATTCAGAACTTTATTTATTGTTAATGTACTAACTGGATGCGCAATATTGTAGTAAAATTCTGAGAATTCCATTCTCTATCACCACAAGTACTGTTTTGGAATAAAGCTATTATTATCTTATCTTCATCTACTTTTATTCATATTAATTTAAACATAAGTGATAAATTATCAGTTGTGAAAGAAAGAAAAAGCCAGAAAAGAAGACAATAACAGAGTGAACCAACCCCACAGACGTGCACATTATGATCAGATCTTTTATTTTCAACAATAAGGGCAAAATGACAGTGTCAACAGACAGTGAAGTTAACAACAATCACACTCTTATTGTTGTTTGAAGACTTGGTATATGAAACTACTACCCTGTTGTCCTAAATGAATTGAACAGACAACAGAGAGGAGGAGGAGCAGAAGCAACAGCAACACCAGCATACACGTCAATACACACACACACACGTGGATTACGCAACAACATTGAATACTACAAAACAAAAGACTGGTTAAGTATATCAGCGTCACGAATAAAACGCAGACAAATATAGATATACATATATATGCTGATAATGATGTGATAATGAAAGTGTCAATTGATGTTGGAGTATTAAATTAAATCAATAATGACATTTTTACTGTAATAGCAATGTGACAGAAAAGAACAAAAACAAAGAAGGGGTTTTTATTTGTTAAAAAAAACACGAAAAAAGTCATTGCTAACCGATGGGATAAAATCTTTTGAGTTGAAATAATAAGGAAGAAAATGAGAACAACTGTATAGTCTTTTAAGCGAGAGAAGACTGAGAGACAAAAAGAGGCAGGGGATGGGTTGGGAAACACAAAAACAAGATAAAATGCATTACAAGACAATATGTTGAGTGCACTCAGTAGAAACTTAAAATTAATGCACTTTTGCTGCTTAGCGTCAACATACACACTGCGTCGTCTACATATGTGTGAATGAAAAACAAAAATAGGAGAATATGATTGGTTAATTATTTATACTTTTGTTTACTTGCTGATTGGACAGAATTGTGACAGCCAATCATAATACAGCTGACACTAATATATATATATATTATATATATATATATATGCATATAAATACCAGATCATTGAAAAGGAGTTAAATTGCATAAATTCATGATTAAAAGCAGTAATAACAATGCAGTCAGTGACGTAACACTGCCTTTATATGTGTGTGTGTGCGCACACAGAACAGGAGATTCACAACAGACACGAAAAAGTGAAAAAAATTAAACCACAGTAATATTTCTAAGACAAATGCAAGTTTAACAATATCAATAACTAACTGTAGTTGTAGTGGTGAAATCAGAGTAAGGTGATTACGTCAAAATAAAATAAAACAAAAAATTAAAAGCAAAACAAAAAACAATAAAGGAAAAATAAACTGAAACCCCAGAAATAAAATATTACGCCAAGTAGGAAAAGGCGATTAGATTAATCTTGTTGTTATCTTGCGGGAAGGTGGGTGGGTGGGAGGGGAGTGATTTAGAATTACATGATGCAATCCCATAGTGAAACTTCAAAAACAGACCATACGCAAGTAGATTAGATTATAAGTAATATAATGAGAATAAAGTAGTATTAATTTCATTAAATATTATTATTATCATCATACCTTGAATAAATTCCATAAATAAATAAAGTCAAGTGATTCATAGAACTTTAAGCATTTATTTTAAAATATATAAATATATATTATTATTTACTATCACGTTTATCATTACGACGACTAACAAGTAGATAGGTTTTCATATCGCCTTTACCTTTAACAAATACTTCGCCACGATATTCAAAGATATACCGCGATTCTAAACGTTTAGCCACTGTCTCAGCCACTTGTATTCTGCCTTTTAATCCAGTTGAATACATACGACTAGCTACATTCACGGTATCCCCCCATATATCATACAGCAGTTTAGTGGTACCAATAACACCGGCTGTTACTTCACCAATATTATAGCCAACTTTTAATTCAAATTGAAAATTAAACATTTGACGATTAAAATCATCCAGGGTATGAATTAAATCTAAGGCGAAATCAAGCAGAGCCCATAAATGTTCATCTGGTTGTTTATTCCTCTTTCTTTCCGTCATATTTAATCCAGACGCTGCCATAAAACACGCCCCAATTGTTTTAATCTTCTCTACATCTTTATATTTTGGTGCAGCCAATTGATGTTCAAAATCCGCAAATATTTCATTCAATACACGTAGCATTTCTTGACCACCTTGATATTGTTCATCATAGAATTCAGAGAAATTAGCTATGCAAGCGAATACCACACCAGCATCTTCTATATGCTGGGAATACTTATTATGCTGACGTAAATCATTCATAATATAATATGGAATAATATTTTCTAATAACCAATCAGCTTGTAATTTTTGATGACCGATAGCTTGTTTCGCTCGTAACGCTTCATAATCTCGATGAAAACTTAGCCGGAAGTTTATGTCAAATTCACGATTTAACATACCAACCAGTATGAGTGTAAGCAAGGCTATCAAAATGTATTCACTAATTGCACTGTCTGATAAAGCTGTATATAACCATAGTGGATAGACTGGTGATGACATTGATGATGATGATGATGATAGGGAAACTGGTATCTGATTGGTATCTGATACATTGAAGTTATTCAGCATAACAGGATACCATGATTGAATATGCCTCGATGAACATGTCGACTGGATAACTTTATGCAAACCAATCAACAGGATACCCAATAAACAAACAAATGTTGCTGATATTGTTTTTGTCCATGACGAGAATGATGTATACAGTGTACAATTAATAAACATAAATGTAAATAATAAACCAATTTGTGTACGATAAGTAGCATATAACAGAGGGGAATAGATTGTATTCCATTTTCTAATCACGGATGTGCTTGTATAACTTGTAAATAAACAATATGAATAACAAGATAATATTAATGCAGTGGGTAGAATCAATATAAATACACCAATAATATTACGTGATTTCCAACGAAATAATCTCCCATATAATCGTATTACAATACGTCGCCAATCATTACGATTTTGAGATTTCTTTGTTAACAATTTAGCATTATTATCTCGACGTCTTGGACACCATGCCCATGCAGCTAAATCTGAGATGAACAAGACTAACAGTAGGTATGTATAATAAAAGCAATCAATAGAATAATATAAAATCCTGGTGTATTCACGGTTAATCGTGAATCAGGAAAAATGATGAAACATGTTAAAGCTATGATAATAATTAATATTGTCTCAGTGATTGTATTAATAAACGGTGCTATACGTGGTGTTGACCAGGACAATTTTTCTATCGAATGAATTTTAGGACGTTTCAAACCAAGACTACGATAGCTATGCTCAACAATTGGAACAAAAAAGTTTAGTGTTAATCGAGATATCGGTGGAAAGATGAATACTTCATCAGGTTGAACAAAATCTTGTAAGGCTTGTAACATTTCCACATCAGAACCACGTCCAATAAATGACTGAAGTGTTGTTGTATTAGCGGTAGGTGTTGTATTAACTGTCGTAGCAGCAGTGGAAGCAACAGTATTCGTTGTAATAGCAGTAGTGGTGGTAGTAGTAGTAGTAGTAATTGTAGTATTCATGGGTAGGCTTTTATTATCCACTGACGACTGAGGCAATTGATTACTACTGGGATTATCTCCACTACTAACAACGCCAACAGGATCAGATTTTGTCATAAGTGGATGCTGATGATCTGGTGTAGGTGATGACGATGTTGTTGGTGGAGGCAATGATACTGGAACAGTATTGATTGTCTGTGAATTGGAAAGATTAATCGATGAATTAGTTCCAGCAGTGTACACTTTATCCTATTATGGAATAAATATTATATATTAAATACACAATTGTTAATTGAAATTAATTAATATTGTATATACACAAAAAAAATTCCGTTAATTCATGGACTGGTGCCAGATTTAGATTTCGGGGAAATCAATCGACGAGGCCGTGAAGCTACATCGACTGAGATGGTTAGGACATTTGTTACGCATACATCCCTAGCCATCGAAAGCCTTCGTCGACAGGCGATGTAGGCTGACGTAGGATGGGTCAGGTGGGAAAAGAGCTATCGGCGGTCAAACCAAAACATGGCGCCAGTCAATGGAATCTACAACAGTTAGTTTAAGTCACGTAGGAAAGTGCAGACTTCCTGGTCGGGGTCCTCGCGACGGTAAAAACCAATGAAGGCTGGAAACAATTGGTGACATAGCTCAAAGTGATCGTTCTCAGTGGCGCAGATCCATCCACTACTTGTGACTTATGATCCCAATGAAACTATTTTGTTCTTCGTTACTACTATTCCTTTGTGTTCACACCTCTGTTTACTGTCTCTATTATGCATTTGTTCTAATTTCTTCTGTTGCTTTGTGTGCTACATGAAGGGAGTGTGGCGACTTGAACTGCTGCACATCGGTGCAAAGTTCTATGTCGAAAACAAATAGACAGACAGACAGATTTAGATTTCACTAATCCTAAATCTTTTGCAACTTAACCGCATGTCAGCTAGCATTGTTCGATGCGCAAGGAGATTGTTTAGCATGCCCAGCGTGTGTCCTAACCATCTCAGTCAATGCACTTACACAACCTCACCAATTGATACGTCCTCCTTATCTAACACTTCACACCTAGCCTGAATATTACTCATCCTATTTTATCAGTTAAGATAGAGAACAGAACACAAACACTGGTGGTTAACGATAGTCAGTCTTTTCATATCTTCCACTTCCAGTAACCAAGATGGAGAGAATGAATTGTAAGGCAGTCTGGACCTTCCTTTCTTACGGCGTGTACTTAATATACTATAATATAATATTAAAACAAAACCATTATACATGGGTGTAACATATGTGCGTGAAAGCTGTTGAATGTTACTCAGAGAAGTGTGATTATTAATCTTCGCCTGACGATAACAACACTGTGGAAGTTGATTTCTTCTTGAAGCATTTTCTGTTGTATGACTGCGGAACTCAAGGGATAAGTGCTTGAGGCTAGTCACACACCGCCTATTTGACTTATTTTTATAATTATCTGTGCATCAAGATCATGACTAATGTCTACAGACTGCCACAAGCTACAAGTGAAGATGTATAATTTCTGGAAGTGACTTTCTCTAATCAACCTTCGCCGAAGAGTGGAGAGGAAGCGTGATGTTGGTTTGTTGGTCATCAGAAAGAAACACATCTTGTTACTTTTCTATAGTTTGGTTTGTAAGGGTTAGTTATGTTTTTAAGAGTTGATCACGGATTGATATCAGTTAGAGAACCATTGAAAACCAGGGAGTACTAGACAGCTGCTGTTTCATCCTAGTTTTGGGAATCATCGGCGGTATGCACCACTGGGATTCGAACCCAGGATCTTCCGGTTGCAAGGCAAGCTCGTTCACCATTCAGCCACTAGGACCCGACTCAATGGCTCATGAATATACGAGCTTGCCTTGTAACCGGAAGATCCTGGGTTCGAATCCCAGTTGGTGCATACCGCCGATGATTCCCAAAACTAGGATGAAACAGCAGCTGTCCAGTACTCCCTGGTTTTCAATGGTTCTCTAACTGATATCAATCCATGATCAACTCTTAAAAACATCTTATTATTGTTGCATCCTCATTTGCCAGCAAAAGGGCTTCGCTCGCAGATCCAACGATCCACACTCCTCACCAACACAGTATCAACGATTTACGCTATAAATGCTAACTGATTTCAATCTAATCATTATCCAAACGACCTTTCTGGTAATGATAGGATCTGTCAGTCAGTGAATCATTGCGACATGCAAAATCCCAACCACCAGTTGAAGATAGCAGCAGGACATCACTGCACTCAGCTAACAGTCGATCATCCACAAATACAATACATAAAAACACAATTTCGTCGACAAATTAACAAGCAAAGAAAAGAGTCAACACTCGCGAATAATCTCAGTAAAAAATAACTGATAGAATGAAGTTCAAGACTATATTTAAAGGAGGTTCCGTTTTCTTGTCAACAAGTTCATAAGTGACAAGTAAACTGGTTGCTATGGATACTAAACAAACACCAATGATAAGAAGAGTATTATTTATTTTATTCCTTCTGCATTCTCAGTGAAATATGTGGCTTCATGCTAAAGCTTTAAAGTTTCGCCAGCAATGGGGTTTATTCTTACAGGATATGGTTGCCAGCCTACCCCTTTGATGATATTAGATGGTTGGAGGCAATCGGACACAGGAAGCCTTGACTCTAGATCTAGGTTTCATGCTAGTCGGCACTCATCAGCAATGCGTATCTGCGACCTTGAACGAACTCATGTCCCTTCTGAGATTCGAACCCGCATCACCCAGTGCCGCGTGCAGTCAGAGACGTTACCACTGAATTATTCGAGCTCAAGATTGACTTGCTGTAGGACTGTACTGGATATTCGAATCTCAGAAGGGATATGAGTTCCTTCAAGGTTGCATATACACCTTGCATATGAGTGTCTACTAGCACGAAACCTAGGTCCAAGGCTTCCGGCCGTTTGTCTCCAACTATCTAATATCATCAAATCAATGTGCACCATGATGGCGAGCTACCTAGAATGGTGGCCACATTGCAAACCTGACTGATAGAATTCAGTCTGCACTAAAGAAAAGACTAGACACGTTGCACTAGTCACTAGTGTCCAATCAAAATATTAAAGGCATATATATATACTACTCATCGGAAAATATAAGACGAAAGACATGCAGCTCATTTGGTTTAAGTACTTTTAACTGGGTCCTGGGTTCGAATCCCACTCCACCTGTTTCATCAGTTTAAACCACTTAACTTAACAAAATAATAAATATACCCCATAGTGTATGTAGTACATGAGAGATAAATCCAAGCGGGATCAATGACAACAAAGATATTTAAGCGTTAGAAAAACAATCGCTACAAAGGAAATAACATGCTAAAAACATGGTTGTTTTTATCTTTTCCTAAGGCTCAATTTTTATCTGCCCCGAGTGAGAATCTCAAGACTAGATGAGAGAAGCTAAAACAGCCCATGTGTATATACAATGATTGCATGCACATGTCTCAAATCAATAAATAAATGAATAACTTACACATTGTGGACTAACTGATTCAACTTCAATTTGAGCCTACAAAAAAGTAAATAATACAAAAGGTTTTATTTAATAAAAAGACGTAATGAATAATAGATATTCAGGTATTGGTTTTGTAAGGATTTTTTTTCGATTGCATGGGGGATTTCATCGTGAGCTGACATTAGTTACAGAACCACTAAAAAACCAGCTCGGAGTACTGGATAGCTGTTTCTTCCCACCTAGTGTGGTACTCTTCATCAGTAAGTACCCACCGGGATTCGAACATCAGATGAATTTTCAGGTATTGGTTTTGTAGGGATTTTGTTGCTCTTGCCCTATTCAGGTAGTTAACCTGGGGTTCTAGAGGGAAGCCGTGACCAGTTGGGTACAGCAGGTTAAAGATGAGGCAGTAACTCATCGAAGAAGACATTGAGAAATGGTCGTGCTACGTCGTGAATTGGTAGAAGTTAGAATTCATGGGCCGGCCATTGGATCGGGTCCCAGTGGCTCAATGGTCTACGAGCTTGCCTTGTGACCGGAAGGTCGTGGGGTTTCAACCCAGGAGGTGAGTCAACACTACGAACTAGTAGGAAACACCTACCCAGTACTCCCTGATGGCTTTCGACAGTTCTGTAACTGATATCAATCTGTGGTCAAACTTCAAACAAATCGAATTCCTAAAACAACTAACCCTTGAATACTATTCAGTGCTTTAAAGCGTTTTCTAAACAATTATAACCACCAGTCACCATCATTAATGGGAGAAATTTAAAGGGAATTATCTCTCTTTCACACACACACACACACTCACCTAACCTGGAGAGCATCGTTTAAACTACAGGCAGTAGCTACGGTACCGATAAAGATATCAAAACGAACGTTCATTACCTTTAAATCAATGTGGACATCTCTGTATAATACTCAGTTAGTACAAGAAGTTTTACACCCTAATATCAAAGTCAGTCAGTAGTTCTTATATGGTTCACAGATTTGACAAGCACATCAGCCAAAACACTTCCAAAAGGCTACTCTGCAGGACCATATTAACATCTGTCCGCTTCACAACATGGAGACTGAACATAAAAAATGTCCAGCAAGGAAAGAACACTGACAATGAAACATATAAGAACCTACACTATTGTTTAAGAAGTATATAGAAGCAGATGGATCGATTGGGCATACGCTGAGAAGATCCTTGAGCGACATTGTGTGCCACACACACACACACTTACTCGAATACAACCGCCATAGGGAACGACAAGATGGGTGTCCATGGATAACATACAGAGGGTCGTGTGAGAAGGTAAAACAAACGAAAAGCTTATGGACAGTTTGTAGAGAGCAAGTTCAAGATGAGGGTATTTAATTTCAACACAATGAAATTTCTCGAAAAATACCCATTTATTCATAAGTAAACACACAGTTTTTGTTCAGCGAAGAAATTTCTTTTCAACGACTTCATTTTCAAGCTGTATAGTCAGTTGTATTTATATTACAGAAAAAGGTTATTAAGTGGCACTAAATAATTGCTCAGTCAATGTACGTATATATGTGATAAAAGTTATAAGGGGTAGAGTTGAAGTGGATAAATTACAAAATTATTAAAGATTGTTTTATAAGTGAATTGATATCAAAAATGTCAAGTGTTGTCTAAAAATTTTAAAAATCAAGAGTACATTTACGATAAGAATGAAGATGTGAAGTGAAGTGGAAAGAATTCAAGTGGTAAAATAAAATAAAAACTAGAAAGAACATTATTATGACCAAGGTAAAGAAAGGGGTTCGACAAAACGTTTTCGAACACATAATTTAGGTTTCTGTTCATGTATAGCTGAGGCTTCGAGCTATGTATAAGTGAAGAAAACGTAAACTTTTGGAGCGATTCGATTTTACCATGTAGATAAGCCTGAAGGAAGAATCCCGTGTGGCTGAATGACCAGACTCTAACAGGTGATCACAAATAGACGACTTCGCAGTTTTGCATTCGCCTTTCACTAACCAAACCAGATAGTGTTCAGCTACACGTTTTCAGAGATTACGCTTACAACCTCCAATATAAACAGCTCCACAAGAGCAGGTAAAAGAGTAAATGCACATGGATGTGGACAAAAGCGGTAATCTATCCTTGACGCATTGTCTGATCATGTTTCGGCTGGTAAAAACTAGTTGCAAGTCAGCTACAGGAAAATTAGATTTAATACATTTAGATAAATGATTTTTAATCAATTCTGAAATGGTGTCACCTTTAAATGTCAGACTCACAAACAGTTTTTTCTTTGGAACTGTGATTTGTTTAGGGGCGGATTCTTTCTTGATGTTACGTTCAATAAACCTTGTAGGATAACCATTGTTAAGGAGATTTGATCGAAGGTTATCTAGTTCCCTATCGATTGTCTCTGCAGAGCAGATTTTACGAATTCTGGAGCATAAGGAATGAATAAGATTTCTCTTTCTCCCTAAAGGTACCCAACTGTTGAAGTTAGTGTACTGCCCAGTGAATGTTGGCTTTCGGTAAATTGACCTTAGAAGCGTTCCATTCTCTCTTCTATCTAGCTTAACATCAAGGAAGTGAAACGAAGAATCCGACTCTTCTTCGATCGTGAAAAGTAAAGATGGGTGAGAACCATTAAATATTCTAAGAAGTTCGGCAGTTGAAGTGTTTTCATCACATACAATGAATACATATATACAATACTTATATACGTACATTGACTGAGCAATTATTTAGTGCCACTTAATAACCTTTTTCTGTAATATAAATACAATGTCATTTGATATAGGCCAGTTTCAACAGATAAACAATTCAATCAATAAATAAGTGAAAAACAAAATCATAAAATTACAAGATGAAATACTATTTTCGTACATCAACTTACCGGTGGTAAACTGACAACTGGTTTATTATCTAAACGTCTTTCAATAAAATAAGTTTTAATCACTAAAACGGAAAAGGAAAAAGAACAATGAAATTGTTTTTTGAGAAAACAAAAACAAACTAGTCAATCAAACACAATCGATAAGAATCAAAGAACAAAAGAGTAAAATAATTCACAGGAATACACAAAAACGCAAAGTCGATGTGTGGGGAAAAATCAGAATCCGGAAAAAATAAAGACTATTCAAGCATGATTGCAGTGTGTTTTCCAACATCATGAGAGGAAGCAATAAAGTGGGAGAGAGAGAAAAAAAATTGTAGTTAACAATAAAAAGAAATCAATAAAATGAAAAAAATTCAAGCAGCATTATTTTATGTAACAAACAAGAATTATTTAGAGATGATAGTGTTACTCTGGGTTATGGAAATAGATAATTGATCGTTTATTCCCTTTAGAAAAATCTCTTGGATGACATTTACAGCCTAGGAGTTACCGGACAGCTGTTTCGTCCCAACTAGTTTGGGACTCTTCATCAGTACGCAATCACCTCCAGGGTTCGAATCCAGGATCTTCTGGTTACAAGGCGACCTCATAGACTCCCAGGCCACTGGAACCCGATCCAATGGTCACCCATGAATTCCAACTTCTGCCAATTCATTATATAGCGTGACTACTAACGAATGTCATCGGCGAGTGGGTTCTAGTGTAAAGTTGTAACCAGTGGGGTACAGCAGGTCAGGTGTGAGGACAAATACTCGCTAGCGATGACATTTGCTAATGGTCACCCCATATCACAAATTGGTAGAAGTTGAAATTCATGGACCAGTGGATTGGGTCCCAGTGGCTTAATGGTCTACGAGCTCGTCTTGTAACCAGAAAGTCCTGGGTTCGAACCCTGGAGGGGACTGCATAGTGATGAAGAGTCCCAAACTAGGTGGGACGAAACAGCTATCCAGTACTCCCAGGTTTTCCAATGGTCTTCTATTCGACGTCAGATCATGATGAAACCCTGAGGATTTACATCAACTGGTTCATTCGCATGATTCATACAACATAGAGGCACGTGCAGTAAAAACTATGGTAGATATTAAATATCTTGACCTAAGTCTTCCCTCTGATCTTTCCTGGTCTTCCTGTACGGTGTATATTTCTAAAAGCCTATTTCTACGTTTTGTGCTTGTTGACACTCATCAGTACACATTTCGTCTAACATTCTACATAAGGAAGTCAGTGCGATCTCGTGTTATTCAACATTTTCCAATTTCTTAATTCTTCTATTCTACGTATGCTTCTTTATTTCTCACCCTTAATCTTCCCTAGGCTACTTTAAAAACAAGCCTATGTCACTTTGAGAAGGACAGTAAAAGCTGTCAGTAGTGCGAGTTAAGTGTCACTAAGCCAACTCGTTAGTATTACAATAAAAACAGTCACATTTGAAGTCAGTCAGGAAATTGCCAAAAATTCTTTTTAATGAAAACAAAACATGTAGTTCAGCAAAGAATCTCTTTTCCGTGATGAATTTATTTTCTTACCTGTACAATCGTAAATATATATGTATATGGGTTATTTTGTATGTATGTGTACATTAAGTTTGTCAAACCAAAATACAATTCGTTATGGTTATTTTAAGTAAACAAGTGGAAATCGGTAATTGGAGTTACGTAATACAAAATCAGTCAAGAAAATTAGGTGTTAATGAAATTAGGGTAGTAAAAAAGGTGATGAGTTGTCACATACAGTTGTTAAAAAAGAAGTCATGTAATAATATGAATAGCTTGATGAGTGAGTTTTACTCAGGACGCACATAGAAACAAAGTAGATAATAGGAAATTATGTAAGCGTTCTAAATGAATACAAGAATTATAAGCAATTAAAGAACAGGCAAACAAACAAAATTAAGTCATCAAAATTAACAAAGTTGTTACCATGACAGTAGAAGTGGTTGAGTAATTCTCTTTTGTATGGACAACTCCGGTTTTTCAATGTCAATGGCCAGAGCTTCAGCGATACAAAGAAGACGAAAACACATTGCCTTTAGTAGGTTATTCTTGACTCTGTAGTTTACTTTGAGATGGAATCTACAGAGTTGTCACTACCCTAATTTCATTAACACCAAATTTTTTTGACTGACTTTGTATTACGTAACTCCAATTACCAATCTTCACCTGTTTAGTTAAAATAACTATAACCAATTGTATTTTGGTTTGACAAACTTAATGTACACATGCATACAAAATAACCCATATACATATATATTTACGATTGTACAGGTAAGAAAATAAATTCATCACGGAAAAGAGATTCTTTGCTGAACTACATGTTTTGTTTTCATTAATGCCTGGGTGGGGATTATCCATGAATTGAAAAATTCTAAATTGTCTAACTCTTAACAACATCATCATTCACTGCAGAATGCAGGTACGTCCAGTTGGTGGATGAGTCCCAAATAAGACGAAATGCGCATCCTAGATTCCATTTGCTAGTCACCATCCACTAATTAACTCTTTATAGATAATTTAAACAATTAATCCGCCTGGAAATAAACCGCATCAAGTACACATATAATCAAACCAGTGAAGTAGTCGTATTTCCGACAGGGATGTCCACTCTCCCCATTTATGTTTAACTTCATTATAGATATGCTGATGGAAGTATCCATAACTGAACGTAACGACTTATGAATCGACTTGTTACCAGAAAATAGTCTTATGGACTTAGAATATGAAGATGACATAGTCCTGTTAGGGGAAGATGCTGACAAAATGCAGAGTCTTCTGAACACCCTGACCAGCAATATTCGTATGTTTGGCATGCGACTCGCCCCTGTAAAATGTAAGATGCTGCTACAGGACTGGACTACATCAACTCCTAGCTTAGTGATAGGGAGTGAAGTGATAGAACATGTTGACCACTTCACCTATTTGGGAAGTTGTATCATCACCAACGGACTGATTGGCGACTAAATCTCAGCACGGATCCAAAAAGCTCGAGCTGCTTTCGCTGACTTACACCATCTCTGGCGTAGGCGTGACATCCGGCTATCAACCAAGGGACGTGTGTACTGCTCAGCAGTTCGCTCCGTCCTTCTCTATGGCTTTGAAACATGGCCAATAGGAGTTGAAGACATGAAAAAGTTGACTGCTTTTGATCACAGATGTCTACGATCCCTGTCTCACGTTAGGTGGTTGCACAAGGTAAGTAATGTTGACGTTAGGCGTAGAGTGTTGGGCAAAGAGGGAAAATCAATCGACGGGGCTATAAAGTTATATAGATTGAGATGGCTATGTCACGTGCTGCTCATGCCTAACCATCGCCTCCCCCGACGGGCATTACTAGCTGATATAGGTGCAGGTTGGAAAAGACTAAGTGATGGCCAAACAAAAACATGGCCTCATCAATCCATGAAATCCTTGACAGTTAAACTGAGTCAGGTAGGGAGATGCAGACTCCCGGGTTGGGGCCCTCGGGACTCTAGGAATCAATGGCTGGAGACAATAGGTGACATGGCTCAAAATCGTTGTCAATGGCCAGCGCAGATGTATTCAGTCTCTGTAATCTTTCATATTCCTTCTACCATTACCCATTCTGTTTCACTCTTATGCCTGTCAAACTCTATTGATTCTCTCCACTCATCTTCTTGTCCACCTTTGTGTGCTATTTGGAACGTGGCAACTCGAACTGGTGCACTTCGGTGCCAAGTTCTATGTTGAATCCAGACAGACAGACAGACAGAAGTAGTCGTAAGGGATGTTTACATCATCGGAATTTAGCCAGTAAGTATTACTATTTAATTATTCTCGATAGTTAAGAACTATTCCTAATGAATAATAAATGCTTCTGCACAGTAGGAAATGTACTTCAATCAAGGGTATTAAAGTACTGAAGAAGTCAAAAAGTGAAAATTTAAAACAAAATAACCACTAATAATACAATGGAAATTATAAACAATTTAGGTATCCTACAAATTTCGAAAAGTTATAACTCATCATTTCATTAATTTGGATAGTTATATGCTCTCCACAGTGAGTGAGTGAATGAATGTCCATGTTACTCAACAAAATCACCTATAAGTCCATGCATTATAATGCCTGTCTAAACCTATCTGGCCAGATAAAGTAGTGGAGTTCGAACCTGTGGCTTAAAGTAATTTAGGTACAGTTTCATGGACAAATGGCCTCAAAACGTTGATTTAAAAAAATCTAACAACAACAGCAACAATATGTTATTTTCAAATTCACTAATGAACCAGTTTAAAGATATTTCAAATAATAAACAAAAACAAAACATCCAGTGAATTTAGATATTCGTATTTTAATTAGAAAAAATTGTTATAAGCATGGGAAAAAATTAACAAAAGTAACTAAATTGTTTTGTGATATGCATAAAAATGCGTGTGACGAGAGAGAAGAAAGAAAGGGTGGATAGGGAAAGATAGTGAGAAAATATTGAAAAGTCACTTAATTTTTATGTTAGTGAGATTTTTACAGCTTCGAATAATTCTTGTTTACTGACTTTCAGAAGTAAGTCTCAGAATACACACGCACCCATTCAAACACAAACATACTATCAGCTGTATACCTAAATACTAACAACCAGAAAACACGTTATTTTATATGTATACATCAAAAGAACATACACACAGAGGCGTTTTTTGCATATCCACTATCAGGATCTCTACTTTTTTGATACCATCATATCATTGACTTAAAATTCTATGCAACTTTCGATTAACAAACTTATTTCATAGAGTATTTGTCCTCACAACCGACCTGATGAAGAGTCCCAAACTAGGCTGATGAAACGGCTGTCCAGTACTCTCAGGTTTTCCAATGGTTCTCTAATCAATGTCGGCTCATGGTGAAATCCTGTAACCAATCAAATCCCTACAAACTTATTTCATAGTTTCAATTGTCACAAACGTATTTATATCTGTAGAATGTGGGGTAGGAAAATTGACAAATCGGTTCAAGGTTGTAAAAGGTGTCAGGTGAGTGGCTAGTACAAAGTGGTCTGTATTAAACAGGAGATAGTAAGACTGCAATGAGTTCATCATGAAATAACG